TAGAAAATTTTATTTTTAAATTTTTCAAAATGTTTTAAGTAATTAATAATCAAAGAATCAAAATTTATCAATTTTTTTTATGTCCTGAAAGAATTATATAAGGCAGAAACATATACGTTTTTATCTCACATGATTTCTCCAGAGGTTCCTCATATTGATATAAACAAAGTTGATCACAAATTTTAATCGTTTTTTGGTTGATAAATATTTTGTTTAACAGTTATGGTTCTGAAATCCAATAATACAAACTTATTTTGATAAGAGTAAGATAACTCCATGTCCAAAAATGTATTTTCTTTTTTTATTTCATCTTTATATTAGACAGAATTTATATACCTTCCCGTTGTAGTTTTTAAATTATTTTTTATTCATATCACTATTAATTCATTTAATTTTTATTTGTAATGTTTTACGGAAAAAAATTTTTATAACAATACAAAAGATACGCATACATCAGTATATTCACGTGTTTGTTCCTCGGTGTTCCATGATGTAGAACGTATGATACACTTGTAAATGTAGACAAGTACAATAATTGCCAAAATATTTCGAGGCTTAAGATCGAATCTTGATCTTCGGTCTTTCCGCTGATCCAATTAACTGACCGGTGGCAAATAATTCGCAATCACTTCCTACTTACTTGGCCTTCGTCTGCACTCAATAGTGCAAACGAATTTCCGTTATAACTAGATTTGATTAGTAGTTACATAGATATTTTCTGCGAATTATTTGTTAATCGCCGCCGTATAATTAGGCGACATTAAATTGTGACGACTTGCAAAGCTGAAACATAAAGACTGTTCTGAAAAACTGAAAACTGCCAACAGACTTAAAAATACATCACATAATCTTGAAGATATACTCCGAAACTGCCTACTGACACTGCCCGACAAAACTTGACATTTTTCAGTGATACATAGAACCAGAAACACAATTTATCTTCTTCGACATGATATTTGAAGATTTATTTTGATTATCATCGAGAAAAGACATATTTTTTGTTGCCGTTTCCTACATCCGAAATGCATTTAAGAATGACCACACAATTTTTGTGAGCGATTTTATGAGCTCTCTTCAACGATGACTTTATATAATGTTTTTCGGCGGGACGTTCTATAATCTAAAAAGAATCGATCATTGGCGAATACGCGGAATATATCGTAATAATATATTTTACTGAGTGAATGAATGAAAGAACGAACGATTGAATGGAAACATGCGTCTGAGAGAGAGAAGAATTTATTGATAATATATCTGTAAATCTCTCTCTCCGTAATTCCCGATCACATAGTGTCGATGATCTATCACGGTTTTACCTAATTAATCAATGTAGAATTCTCGTGAAGGAATTATAATTGCTAGTCTTTAATTGTGCGATATGCTCTCGTAAATTCTCGCGCTATCGTCGACGCGAATTTACACGCGCATTTCGTAAGTGAATGCGAGAAATGAGTATATGAATTGATGAAGAGGTACTCAAAAGGCGAGGTGTATAATAAGTGTGAAAATATAAATTGCCATTTTTTATGTAAACAATATATTGTAATTATAATTATGTATTCATAATTACTATTATTTTATTATAACTATTATATTGATATCATTATCGCTATTGTAAACTCTCTTGATTAGATTTGAAGTTCTTATTGTAATAATAGTAATTATAATTAATTATTAATTATGGCTAACTTTTAGAACTCTATTATACGTAATAGCAAATTATGATTGTAATAATTGCGGCTTTGATTTTTATACATAATATTTTATATATACATATTATAAGGAAGGAAAAATGATACACATACACACGATTACTCTTCAAGAGATATAAGTGTATTTTGGTATAGAGCATGTATGCTATATTGTGTATAAGTGTGGCAAGAATAATTTTACGTATCCGGTCTGTATGAAACCGGAAGAACGAATTTTATCTTTGCGACTCTCATTGAGTTGGCGATCCGTTTGTTTTCTTTATGTTTTTTATTTCTCGGCAAACGAATATTAGAAAGAAAGGTCGTATTTAAGATGGATTGTATTTTTATGAAAATTACTTTCTAGGAGAAAATTTATACACTGGAAATCGAAAAATTTATACAGCAATTGTTTGTGATAGCTTGCATAAGCTGTCTTTGGCGAACGGACAATTACTTTTTAAGTTAATGGACATTTTTCAACAGGCCAGTAGCAAAAGCTTTCGAATTGTAATTGTAATCTCGTGGTAATCGTCTTCTTCGATGTGAAATTTTCGCAATTTATGATTCTCGAGCTGACGTGCAAATTGTATAAATATCGTTTATTTGAATGCAACTCGACCCATCTTCGGGGCGCCGTATTACGTCCTCAATTAAGGCTGTAAATAGGAAGTACCAGATGTTCGTTGAGCCACGAACTCAAAGTTCCCAATAACTTCCGACATTTAAGTGCCTAAAGACCCAGATATATGTCTATTCTCTTCGTTGTCTAGTTTCTACAGTTGGATAAGGTACTGCTTGTCAAAATGACAACGACAAAAACTAGTGCTTGTCTGTCGCGTAATAAATTTTTTTCGCGTCCCTCGCGGAATATTTATTTAAAATATTATAATGGACAGTTCATAAAAATATGAAGATAAATTGCACTTTTCTTGATATTCCAATTGAGTAAGATGTACAAACGAGAGTAAATAATTCCTTTCATATTGCATTCTTTGCAATATCTACGGTACCTGTGAAAATATTGCAATAGTGTAAAACTTTAAAAGAGCAATTGCACAATTTTATTAGCTTTTTCACAAACTTTGTTTCGTATATTTATTAAATCATATTTTTAAGTCGATATAAATTTTAATGAGTTGCTAAATGAACAATGATGTATATAGCACAGAACAATGTACAAACTATTAACCCTCTGATGTTTTCTGAAAATAATTTTACAAGATATGCATCATTTTCTTGGTCTTATTTTATTAAAAATCCATTTATTATAATTAAAAATTTATCAATTTACTGAGATTATTCTTGAATCTATGTTTATTAGATCGCGAACTACAAATAATCAAAAAAGTCCCAGTTGCTTGATAGTCCGTCAGAGGGTTAAACAAAGAAGTTATGCTCTTCTATAGAAATAACAAACGATATAAAGCGCCGAAAATTGCAAGACCAAGAGAAGATGCAATAAGTAATGAAACGAACATAATAAAAAAGATCTATACGTATATCTCTACAAAAATGGAGCTTAGGGTATATACAGTAGAAATCATTGGCAGCGCTTTATCCAACTTCGCTAGTTTTTACATCGCAAAGGACGAGAGACTGTCGCTCGACACCCTCAACAGATCTCAGCACTCCGGCGAAACGAACAAGGATCATTTATTTTTTAATCGAACTCACAGAAGGGCCAGCTCGTTTCCGTGGAGTGCGCCTAACGAATAAATAATTATATATTATAAATAAATAAATGAATAAATATAAATGCATATATATATATACATATATATATTCAGATGCGCATGCGTGTACATACACATATGTAAATCTAACAATAAGTGCGGGAACCTTGAGGTACGTGGGGCAACGAAAACAGAAAATCCTCGAAAGTGGAAGCGCCGGAACGTCGTCAGTCGATGTTTTTGTTTTTGAGGATGCAAGAGTCAATTTTTCGATTGCGTAAACAAAACCCCTGCATCACTGTAACATACCTCTATAGCACGTCTCATAGTTTAATTAGCCCTCGGGTTATCGGTCGTTTAAATTTTCTCAGGCACGAGGAAGTGGTACCTTCAAATATATTTATTTTTCTGACTAGAAAATCGAGGGATTGAAACAGTGATAAGAGGGGTAGAAAAAGAGAGAAAGATGATACACATTTTGCAAGCGGTGTTTGGTAATCCGAGGGTTAAGACTGATTCTACAAACGCGTTATAAAAAATGCTAGACCGAGCATATTTTATAATTATACTGTCATTTTATTATTGTTTGTAATTATACGATTACTATTGAATTTGTTTTTAATAAACGGCAAGTGCCATGATTACATATATGGACTGCAGTATGATCATTCTCAGCTAACCCCTATCTTGGTAAGTAAATGCTAAGTTTAATCGTATAAACAAATCATAAATGAATTATTTGCAGCAGGGTTGGGTAGTGCTAAGTTAAAAAGATAAAAGTTAAGTTAAGAAGTTAAAGTTATTTAATTTTAACTTAACTTAGTTACATTTTAGACTCTTAACTTTTTAACTTAATTTTGTTACATTTTATCAGTAACTTTTAATTAACTTTTAATTTGATTTTTTTAAGTCAATCCTTAGACGATCTCTCAGTACGAGAGGATAATTTAGTAATTTCGTTTATATTGTATAATCGTTACTTGTGAACAAAAATAACCAAATTCTTTAATAAATATGCTGTGAGAAAGAAAAAATACAAAAAATTATGTAAAATGGTCAAACTTTTTAATTTTCTTTTTTTTTTAGTTGTTCATTTGCGACCAAATTTAATTTTTACTTTTCAGTTACTTTTTTTATTAATTTAACTTTTAATTCAATTAATTTCATTATGAATTAACTTGTATTTTAATTAAATTAAATTGTCAAGGCTGTTAACTTTAACTTAATTCGTTAGTTAAAAAAAAAGTTAACTTACTCAACTCTGGGGTTTGCAGGAATTATAAAAGGACCATTCTTTTATTAAATAAATATTGATTTTATTATTACTGTCAAGAAATTAGTTATCAAAGAATTGCTTGTATAATAAAAGAATTGAATAATGTTAATAAAAAAATTGACGAACAATTGACTTACAATAATAAACAAATGCGAGAATTAAAAGTGTCAGATAATAATTTTTTATTTTTGAATAAATTAACATGATGCATTTAATAAAGTACAAAACAAGATCGTACTGATAAAACGAATTAGTTCAATCTTGATTCAAAGATATAATAAACTTTGCAGATGAATTAACTTTTTATTTTCCATAATATAATACATAAAATAATTGTATAATGTAATTTTAGTGTATTTTAGTTTGAAATGTAAATATTACAAACAGTTTGGTTCTATTATTTTATTCTCGCAATAGATAGTTTTAGAGAAATTACAATCAGGTGTAACAATCTTTATAATCTTGATTTTTTTAGAGCGAAGCCGCAATTTATCTGCATTTAAACTTCATCTTCGTCGCTAAAATCGAATGCTTCATTCGCATTTACATTGCTATTGAAATTGACGTTACTATTCGTATTTTGATTGCGCATTTTGGGTACATGTGAATCACCACCGTTGAAAGAACGTCTATGATGCCGTTTGGTATCAATATTGCTGTTTAAGTTTTCATTAATATTAGCATTCATGTTTTCATTTTCATTTTTGTTCTTCTTTTGAAGCTTCAGCTTTCTCGGCGTTATATAATATCTCGGGGCGAGATATGGAATGTTATTCTGAAAATCCAATGCTTTTTGAATTTTTTGTCTGTGATTAAAAAGCCCAAGTTCTTTAATTTTTAAAATAATTAGATCAACAAAGAATAAATCTGTATGAAAATTAAATAAATTAAATTTTATACTCTACTTGTTAAGAAATTATTATAGAGTAATTTTGTTAATATATATACAAATCAAAATAATCACTTTTTGAATTATGTATTATAAAAAAAAATAGAAATCATATTCTGTTTTTCTATTAAAATTAAGATTATATTAATTTTGTTATTTGTTATTTTGTATTCTTTATGTATTCCACTGATACCTCATTGCTTTCATAAGATGTTTGGTGTTCTAAAATCAGATTGTGTAGCTTCTCGGTTGGCATAAGACAAAATGTATTTCGTTCGGGCTGTTTGACAAGCATACTTTCAAGACGTTGCAAGGATTCTAAAATCTCCAAGTAATAGGATTTTCTTGCATCAGCATATTGCGACAACAAGATCAAGAGCTTATAAAAATAAAAAGGTAAAATTAAATTAGACGTATTTTATAATAAATAACTATTTGTTTTCAAAACAGACTTAGCAAAAAAAATTATAAAGAAATCAAAAGATAATTAGATTGTGTTACATTTAATATTTATATGAATTAACGATATTATATTCATTTGTTGCTAAAAAATAATTTACTTACCAGACAGCCGAATATTCGGCACGAAATTGTCGAAGAAGACATGATTGTCAATGTTCGAAGTTCTCTTCGATTCCTGGAGTGATCGTCTACTGCTGAGTGTTCATATAGAAGCGTTCACGGTCACGTTAAAATTAAAAGTCGTCTGCGAATTTGCAGTGAGAGTAATAAAAACATTGTTAATTATATTAAGCATATGACATAAAGTGTTATCGTTCGCTTCAGTGAAATGTGCTAAATTCAATTTATTCTTTACCACCAATTGACACTATAAAATTGCTTAGAGATGAGAGAGAGAGAGAGAGAGATTGAAGTACATAAAATACATTTGAAATTTTGCATGCTGATTTAAGGCTCCTGAGTAGTCACCATAGCCATATTGAATCGTGACATTAAAAGCGAGGAATGGCACGTTAATTTATGTTGCATGCCATTTGTAACTAAAAGCAATTTGGATAAATCTAAATGATAAGATTGCTTTTTTTGGTAACGACTGGGTAATGATGTTACATTTTCTTCAGAGTAACGTTCATGATAACGCAGTTACATTTTTGAGATAATGATAACGATTTCACTAGTTACTTTTATCGTTACTTTATTTTCTATTTACACAAAAGTTTTAATTGTAACTAAAACATATATACATTAATTAGCAGGGTTGGGTAAATTAACTTTTTTTTTTTTAACTAAGTTAAGTTAAAGTTAACAGCCTTGAAAATTTAACTTAAAATACAAGTTAATCCATAATGAAATTAATTGAATTAAAAATTAAGTTAATAAAAAGAGTAATTGAAAAGTTAAAAGTTAAATTTGATCCGAACAACCAGGCGCGCCCGGGGGGGTTGGGAACATGGCGGGGGCCATGTTTCCTACCCACGCCCCCCCAAGTCACCGGGGAGGCGGGGTGCGGAGGGCGGTGTCCCCTTCCGCACCCGAAAGAGAAAGAAGCGCAACGGCGCCGCCCGGGGCCCGTCAAAAAGGCCCCGAGCGGGTCAGGGCCAGCAGTTAGCCGGCGGGCCAGGGGGCTCCCAGAAGTATGCTGCACGCGTTTCTGGGAGCCCCCAACATCGGCCAGAGCAAGGACACCCGGAGGGGTTTTAATGGGTGCGAGCCCCACATATCCCTGGACCCTCCCCCGAGGTCCAGGGAATGCGGTAGGCATTTCCCCTCCGATATAAAAAAAAAAACAAAAAAAATGGTCCGAACAACCAAAAAAAGAAAAAGAAAAGATTTGACCATTTTACATAATTTTTCGTATTTTTCCTTTTTCACAGCACATTTATTAAAGAATCTGGTTATTTTTGTTCACAAGTAACGATTATACAATATAAAATTACTATATTATGTACTCATTATCCTTTCGCATTGTGTCTAAGGAGTGGCTTAAAAAAAATCGAATTAAAAGTTAATAGTTATTGATAAAATGTAACTAAGTTAAGTTAAAATTAATTAACTTTTTAACTTAACACTTTTATCTTTTTAACTTAGCACTACCCAACCCTGTTTATTAGTTTTTGAGTTTTATTCCTCTACTAAAAAATAGAATTCTGATATCTTTTTTATATTTACCGCAAGAATTTATCTAATTACGCATATAATAGCGTTTTTCATTGGCAGAACTAGTGCGCATTCAATGCACTTTAAAGTCGCTGTACAATTGACGTAAAGATGTATGATTAATAAAAATATAGAAACGAGTTAAATCGCGAAATCCTCAATACATTTTATTATGTTATCTGACAAAATATACTTTATCAATTGAGTTATTTCATTTTTACATTTAGAATTGTGTACAACGGCTTTAATGTGCACTGAGTGCGCACAAGTTCTGCCAATGAAAAACGCTATAATATTCTATTAGTGTTAAGAAAAGAAAGTAACGAAAAAATAACGATTCGTTACATTTTGAAGAACGGTAACGATAACGAGTTACTTTTGCAATCAATAACGATAACGAGTTACTTTTTAGGAAAAAGAATGGTAACGGTAACGAGTTATTTTTATGAGGTAACGCTGCTAACCCTGAGAACTACTTACTATTTGTCGAAAGTAAATCAATCGAAGAAATTATACATTTATTTTAATGTATTAATTTCTTCCTACATCATATAAAGCTAATAATTCTTGAAACTTTGTAAGTGAAATATGCGTACGGTAATCAAAAGAATCATTTATTTAAAAACAAGAGAAGCTGTATAAAAGAACATTTATTTTGAAAATTCATCGATGTTAACAATTAATTCGAGATAGATTCAATGTATTAATATTATATGTAACTATACAAACATTATTTAATCAAATAATTTTCTTTTTGTTAAAATGTAATGTCGAATTAATGGAGAGCATCGAGAATGTCTTTTCTGTGAATTTTGATTCTGACATTCACGTAATTCTGCTCATCATCGTTCGACATTGTTTTCGTATCAGAACGTTGCAACATCCTTCTGCTGAAACTATCCTTCTTCTGGTTAGTCTTCGGATAAGTCTGTTTCGATAGAGTCATCTTCGTGGAGGCCATCATGTCTGCCACAATACCCCTCGCCATGATTTCTTCGTCTAACATATTTATACTTGGTGAGTCTCTGATGATCGCCCTTCGGGCGATCTTATCGAGTTGAGTTGCTACTTGGAAGACGGACGGGGATGTTCCGTCCCTTCTATTATGTGATACTAGAGGTATTACAGCCCTTTCGAGATCCTTCTTAATGCTCTTTGAGTTGGTGATATGAATAGTACGATTGTTTAAACGAGTCTCCATTATCTTCCACAATTCTTGAGCCAATTCCTGAGCGTTTACGTTCACGTTGATGTTCACATTCTTGTTCTCAATTATCGGTTCGAACTGTTCCTGTAAGTTGCACTTTTAGTTTTGAACGTAAATAGGTATCTATCGTCAATAGATAATTATCATTGTATGTGAAATAATGGACGAACTCGAGCTTTTATTATGATAATGTTTTCATATATCATCGAATAACATTAATTGTATTATTATAAAGATTGATTCTAATTATGTAAAATTAGTGATTATAATAATATGTTAACACATTATTATAATTATTGATATATAACATCTACCACGAAATTAATTTGTTTGTAAAAATTGTTATAATAATTATTATGATATTCTTAGATAATTACGATAAAAAATTAATGCTTTTATCTATATTTTTATTTTTCTCTTACATCTTCTAGTGATAATTGCTCCAAAGAATCCATCTGGAAAAATTTATGAATTATGACAGTATTAAATTAGTTACAATTCGTATAAATGTTGCATTATTTACAAAATATTTAATAATCTTTTGCACTTTAAAATTTGCAATATACAATAGATTGCTGATGTTCTGTTATCAGTATATTATTAAAGATTAATAATAAATACGATAATAATAAATACGAAAAAATATTTTTATATACAGTAGTAATTTATAATAGAGACATTAAAATTTTTCTTATTGGTTAATGTCATATTATCATTATTATAATTACTTTTCTACTTGTTTTGTTCTTACTTGAGCACTGAGCACCACTAGGGCGGCCCACAATATTGATAAGCACGTAAATGTCATAACGTAATTGATACAGATAAAATGATTTGAGACGCTGGCTCAGCGTGTCTCAAAACGACGAATGCATATACTATAAACCGACTTTTATATGCGATAACACGATGTGCCGGTGGAATACTTGCGCAATGCAACGGTGCGATAGCAAGACCTCATAGAAATTAAAGACGGCGCAATTCGTGTTGGAGATTTAATTTACGCGATAATTCGTGATAAGTTCGGGTTGTCCGCTTATAGGCAGTTTGTGGGCGCACGCAATGCTGATCAATGAGACGCAATGTTCGTAAGTGCAGCTTTCGCAACATGCATCTTTGAATTACAACGGCAATTATCTTTTTGCGCATTTCATATTGCCACGATTATATCTGTAATTTGTGTTAAAATCGCCAAATTAATACGACGTCATATAATTCATCTTGATCATCGTTATCTACCTATATATTCCAATATTTAATACATTGTCATTGTTTTCTTTGTAAATTAACATTTAATTATTAAAATCGCAGAAAAATGCAAAAATGGTAACTACACTTTTTGTGTCATACTCCCGCAGTCGGGAGTATGCTCCTCTCGATTATTTTTATTTCTGTCTGTAGGTTATAACGCGCATCAAAAATTTAAGCAGCAAGCTGATCAACATTTTTAATGTGCTATTGTTTATATTATTGCTTTACGGTTTCTGCTATGATTGATTAATTCACTTATTACGTCTCCACTTGCGTTTTTCTGTGTGTCATGGCTCTATTTCTTTTTATGCATGTATAATTAAAGATATTTCTTTTTCTTTATTAATCTCTATATATATTTTTTTCTGATACTTGTAAAATTTTAATAAGTCTAACTTATTAAAATATGTTATTCCTGACTTAAAAGCGACAATATATTTTTTAATATACAGAATTTTTTATGAACTTTCATGAGTATAGAATACTCATGAATCCAATTTTTTAAGACCGTGCTCAAGAATCGCTATACGTGATAAGTGTTTCATTACGGTAGCACATTATAAAACTAATCAAAAGATAAGTATGTTCGGATCATTATTCGTCAATTGATTTTCGCGCGGAAGTTATAAAGATTGTAAAATCAATTTTACAAGGAACATTTTCGACATTCAGCACATCCGTTGATGGATCAATTTCTCATAACTAGTTCAAAAATAATATGAATAATTTACATTCAATTTTAATTTTCAAAGATTTTTATAATTATTTTAATTGTCCTTATTGTGATGTACTATATAATAAGAGCATATCGTAATTACAAAATAATAATTTTTATAAAATAATTAGTTTAATTAATATAGCTCATTTATATAGGTATACATTTTGTATATAATTCTAGATTCACAATACTTACTAATGTGATTTAAATCTTGCTCGTAAATTATTTGCTTAAACTTAGATAATATGTTCGATATGTAAATTTTTGTTTCATTGTTTATTATAATGATCAGTCACGTAAGTTTGATTATTGTCCAATCTCATCTCTATAATCGGTCGAAGCGCGTTGATCAATTGATCGCTGATTTCCTGTAATTTTGCTTCAGACAGTTGCACATGCAAATCTTCATCTTTCAAATTATCAATAAAAGAACGATAACTGTTTGAATCTAATAGATTATCGATATGAGTAATTTGATTTTCAGGCAATCGATTTATTCTGTCATTAGTAGATGAATTATCTTGAAGATTTTTCCCATCTTCTGAATCAGATTTTATAACGTCGTTCATATTTTTAGAATCTCGTACATCGTTCGAACGTTTGGCTTGATGTTCTGTAATCGATGTTAATGTATTGGATTCTATTTGATTAGGTAATACTGACGTCGTAACTGCAACATCTGTCAATTTACTTTTTTCTTTTATTGATAATTCTTTGTCGACAGAACTATTAGCATTTTCATTTGTCTGAATAGAAGAAAAATCGATTTTAGTCTTGTTATTATTGTTCTCCAGTTCATTAAAATTTGATAAAAATCTAAAGAGCGGAATAGAAGAATCTTTTAATAATGTGGATTGTTTATTACTATCTTCGGCTGTTGAATTATTCTCATTTGTTGGTAAATCGTTAACTCTTGTTTCTTGATTATTCCTTCCAGATGCTCCAGCATCAAATTGATTTCCTACTTGTTTAGCGTTTTCACTTTGCTCCTGTTGAGTATAGTCAGATTGCGCGAGATGATTCTGACTTTCCTCGGCACTCTTTAATGGCGTGTTGATATCTTGAGATTGCGGAATAACTTGACTCAGTAAGTTACTCGCGCCTTTTGCAGTCTCAGGTAAAACTTTAATCATCGACTCCACAATGTTTTTTGTGTTTGATAAAATCTCATTCACTACAGGTAAATTATCTTTCTGTTTACCAGTTTGCGTATTCATGTTTCCAGTATTTGTAAGTATAACTGGATCAAAAAAACTTCGCCTTATATCGTCGTTCTTATCTGATGACGCTTGTATATTTTGCATATTTTGTGACGGAATATACTGATTCGCGTTTCCGTGTACATTACTAATAATCTTCGGAATAATTTGTGCTAAATCTGTGTCAAATAATCGTTGACTTATTTCGAGCGTTGATTCCTGCAAATTTTGCGAGTTTGGAAAAAATGTATTTACAGTTTCAGTCAAATTATTCATAATCGATGTATTCGTGTTATTCTTTATTAAAGCTTGATTAACTCTTCCCGCTGACGTCAGAAAGTCTGGTCTAAATTCATTTACATTTAGCGAGTTGTTTGATGTATCTGAATCAAGAATTGATTTTTGTAAAGTGTTAGAATTAAATTCATGATTATGTCCGGTAACATCGGATGAAGCTTCTCGGACATCTTGTACAGATTTCGGAATTAAATTGCTGTTTAAATTTAGATTGCGTTCTACATCTCGATTGTCATCAATATTTTGAAGAGCACTTAACTTTGGTAATTGCGAGTTGAATACTGTTTGATTTTTATCCGAATTTATTTCAGGATCACTGGAAGACGAATGATTCAGAATTTTTTGGCTTTTATCAAGCCATTCCAGATTTGTTTGAGATGGCGATTGCGTTATGAGAGCTTCGGTTGTTGAAATTGACGGAGTATCGTTGCGTCTGTTACAATCATATCCTTTTTCACTTTTCTTTCTCAAATGCGTTAATCGATTCGCTGTGTGCGTTGCTAATTGTAAAAAAAGCTTCAAAATCTTCTCATTTTGAGCAATTGAATCTGAATCATTACGCGAAGTATTCCAGTCAATATTTGATGGCAAAGAATGTACCTAATGAGAGAAAAAGAATTAATCGCAAGATATTATGAGTACATCAAATTATTACAAATTGTTGCTATATTATTTCTTATAAATATCTTTTATAATTCTATTAAATCAAATAAGTATATGTTTAGAATATAATATAAGTATGTTTAACAATATATAACTTTTTTAAAATTGTTAAAGTAAAATATTTTTTCAATTATATTTAATTTAACTTTAAGTAAAATTTAAAAAAGCTTTAAATATATATTTTATTTAAATTTATTTTACCAGAACGATCAACGCGTTAAAAATAAACAAAACTGAACTTCTCGGCCACATTTTACCATTTACTCTGACAAGCTGAACACAATCGCTTTAAATATGATCGTAAAATTAATATTGAATATTTCGATGTTGTCCAATTTTAACGACTGTTGTCATCGCATCACGTTTTCATCTATGCTCTATATCAGATGCAGTGTCGAGATTTGTTGTTTCTCATTTAATTTTTTTACAGCCGTCTCTTTTTTTTATTCGCATGTCTCATTATAGACAATCATTAATTAAAACAACGTCAACTGATTATTTTTATATGTAGTAACTATACAAAATATAGCATAATCACATGGACGGTCCTCAAACTTTAACAGAAAATGGATTATATTATTAATTGAATTGTCATTGTAAGGATCTTGATAACAATTATTATTTAAAAGTATCTGCGAAGATCAAATTTAATGTTTGCATTGTTTTCTAGTATTAGTTGCGATCTAATTTACATGATAAAACTAAGTATTATAATAAATGATCAAGTAAATAATAAAACTAAAGCAAGTCGATGCAAAATCTATATTATTTGATTAAAATTAAACATATCAAAATATTTACCGCGTACTACTAATTTTGTGCAATAGAACAGACAGAATTAAAAGAAATTGTTGATATCAATTTTAATTAAGAAGTTAATATCTCAATAATGTTTAATACTTCCGATAAGGTATCGCGATCGATCAATCGATCGTCTGTTCTTCATCGATCATTAACTGCGTGAACAAGCCCTCGAGATGAGCGGAGAGGATGTAATAATTACTTCAACGTCCGTTATGACAATAGATGTATTTTCTGCTCAATTACACGTACAAGGATTCAATCTGTGGCTGACCTATTTCTACGTATTGTAATTGCATTTATTGATAAATGATATAGTATATAGCAGTAAAAAGTTTTAGAGGGATAACATGAGTATAATCCTCATATCACGAGTAACTGATATCTATTGTTAAAAATGTCTCTTATTAAAAGAACGTTTTATCATGCAAAATGTCTGCTGTAACTAATTTTGTATATATTTTTAGGGTTGAAGAGTCGCCAAGAAATCTGCGCAACTTTCATCAGTAGGCAGACACTGTCCGAACGCTTCTAGTAATAGCGGTTCCTCTATAACTGCTGTCTCATAATCTCGAAATGATATTTTTCCATCGTGATCGACGTCGAGTTTCTTCAAGGCCAGCTCCGACAAATCTTTCACTCCTTCGTCTGGATCTTCTTCACCTGGCTGCTTTATCAGGCAATTTCTATGAAATTGGGAAAATATTTGATAACTATATAATAAAACAGATACGATTAATTGTAAATTAAGATTTTAATCGCTTTTTACTTGAGCAGCTGAAAGATTTCATCTTTTGTGATGTATCCATCGTTGTTTAGATCGTACACGTGAAAGCAGAAAACGATTTTGTCACGCAGGCTACCCCGCAAGAACACGTCTAGGCCCATGATCCACGGTTCAAGTCTGATAGCACCCTCGATTTCTCGATCCCAACAGCAAAACAAGCGTTCTATCAGAATGTCCTCGGTGATTACGTGAAACGTGTTGTGAAGGAGTTCTCGGAAAATAGTTCTATCAATTCTCTGAGCACATATAATGTGAGTTTGAAGAAATTCTTTAATGTAATTTATATATGTTTTTTATTTTGTTTAAATACAAAGTTAACTTTCAATTGCATGTGGTGTAATTACCTCGACAGCTGGCCTCGATTGTGGCCTTCTGCCGATAGATATCGATCGCCCAACTTGTTGTTGGCTGGAATTGGTAGTCAATTTCTTGTAAAGTTTGCAGAGACTATCCAGTTCTATCCTGATAAAAGAAAATCATCAGATTAAACGGTAATCAAAATAATTATACACGTGATTATTTATTTTATACATTTATGCTACTAGTGTAATTCACAAAGCATAATTTTTTTATTCTATTGGAGAATCTTATTTTTGTAAATCGTGTAATTAATTAACTTTTATTTGTCAGTTCCACTTAATTCCATTTATTTTTCCTTGTCGAGAAAATGATAAAATAAAACACTGGAAAATTAATTCACGAGTCATTGCGAAGCGTCTCTGCAAACTCGCCTGGAGAACCTCGTCTTTTTTTTAAGGGATTCGATCACTTTTACGATGTACGCAGAATTCCTGGCGCCTCCGCCTTCCGGCATCTTTCGGCGACGTCTCCTTCTTGATGACTCGTCCTTGCCAGAAGCAGCGGAGATCTGCCGTTTTGAGTTTGCCGACACCCTGCGACCGCTCGTCAAGAAAATGGAAACGCTTTTCATGAGCGTCGCGCCGGCACGAACGCTTATACCTGTTCGACCCTCGGCGTCGACGTCGGCGCCGGCGCCGACGCCCGGTTTTGCCCTCCCAGTTGGCGTGGCGTTTCGTTGTTCAGACATCTCCTTTCAGTGACTAAAAGTTCCGAATTAATTAGAATTTTCATTTAGGTTGTTGACATTATTAAAGATAATTCTAAATTATTCGAGCAGCTTTCTATTTATAGAGTAGAAATAAAAATTTATTCTGATCTATACTTTAATAATTAATATTTTTTTCTATTTATATATGTATATTACATATACATAATATTAATAATTATAATTTTATTGAAGGGCAAGGTAGAAGATATGTAAGTACATAAAAACAAATGTGAAGATCAGCAATGTGATTGCTTATAAGTCTAAATCTTTAAGATTTTTATATCTTCAGTATAGTATACTGAAAAAAAAATTGCAGATTTTAAATAAATATTTACTCCAATAGTACTGACGAAATATTTATTTATAGTAAATAAATATTTATTCAAAATAAAATAGTTATGTTTAAATCGATTAAATATATGTTTACATTTAGTAAATATTTCGTTAGTACTATATTGGAGTAAATATTTATTTAAAATCTGCAAATTTTTTTTCTGTGTATAATTAAGAAGAAAATACATAAGTATAACAATCAAATGTAATACATAAGTAGTAAAAAAAACCATAAACCTATAGAGGTACAAGACTTCGTATTACAAAGATAGCTTTGTATACTTTCATATACAAAGAAAATATAATATTTGAGAATGTAAAAAAAAAGAGAAGCAAGACGAGAGAGAACATAATACATTGAGTTAAAAATGAGAGAAACAATATAGTGAGAAGCAAGTAATTTAAAAGTAAAAGCCAATAAAGAAGAACAAATATATATTTTAAATGGAGTTTTCACGATTGTAATAAAAATGCAAATCTGCTTAATATGAATAGGAAAAAATGTATGAAAATAGAGACTGTTACTATGAACCGATATAGACATTCGAGTCGATTAATCGATAAGAAATAATTCACGGGGCGGGGGTGCAGTGGTCCCTTTTTTACAGCTAAAAATTGCAAACAGCCAATCATAGCTCGTCAAAAGATTGCTTTTCTCTCGTGCAACTGAGTTATTATTATTTACGATCATATTTACGTAATTTTCTTGTAACGGTGTTGGTTTATCGTCTTCGCCATTTTCGTGGCACGAATATTCCAATGAATTTAAATCGTATATTTATGTGCGCGTAACTTGGTCTGCGTGTACGGAGAAAAAGAATATCATTTGCTTAGAAAGAAAAATATCTGAGATTTATGACAAAAAGCGCATATTAGCGCGCTTGCAACGGTTGCTTACATTTTACATTATGAATAGTGCATAAACTTAGATATTATGCATTTAATATTGTATTATCTATCACTGTATACATTGAAATATAAATAATGTACGTTGTTACATCGAAACATTAAAAAGTTTATGTCTCGTTTTGCGAGATAAAATGTAAAAACTTTTCTCATTAGGCAATGAATACAACTCGAGCTGTATTTGTATTTGAAGCAAACCAATTCGTGCATTATTTAAGATTTGTATGATTTGAACACGCAGTGCCAGGTAAAACATAGAAAATAGAGAAAACTTTAAAGCACACTTTTATTCGTTCCATAACTATTTTGACAATTTTACTGAAACCCTAATTTTATATCTCTGTTTGATTAAGAAGAATATGAGTTTAAGGATTTGCACGTCTTTAAACATAAAATTATATACATATATATTTTGATTAGAAAAGAAAATTTCATCTCCAACAATTTATGATACATTTTTAATCAACTTGTAAACTATCTAAATAATCACTTTTAAACGTGAGATCTATTTATGCAAACGGTAATAAAGCGCTTGAAATATGAGATGCAGTTCTTCAAGAGAACTATTATTTTGAATAATGCATGTCTTATCTTCGAGTAATCATCCTTAACAACGTGCCTTGAGAATCGCTCCTGTAAACGCAAGAGAACAATTCATAACATAGGAAATTGCAATTTTGAGAAAGCATGATATTAATTTCTGCATGATGAAATCACTCCTATTTTATTGCGTTACACGATTTCTTTATATTACATGAATCTTTTTTTTCTATTATTTGTACATATCTTCCACTTATTATATAAAAATATTTTGTCGAAAGCAGTTACGATAAAAATTCTATATTTAATTCTTATTTTGTTTATTCTGTAAATTGATTTAATAGTGTAATTATATATGAATTCAGTAAAATAATTTTGCCAATGAATGCAATTTTACAAGGATACGATAGAATGAGGACTATGATAGCACTCTAAATTAGATCGTGCTGCGATAATCGACACGTGTGTTTCTGTACCTATGGATTCTCAATTTAACTTCTCTAATTTCTAACTCACGATAAACGTAGCATGCATGTGAATTTCGTTTCAATCTACAATAACCTACTGTGCCTATATTGATCAAAACACCACCTGAAATTGTTGACATTAACTAATTTTTCAGATTTTACAGAATTATAATAATTCAATTTATTTGAGAAAATATTTCGTCATCGCGACATTTTTCCGGAATTTTGAATTGTCAATATTAATTACGAATAAATATTGATGAATATTTTCAATAAAACTAACTCAGCCTGAAAGATTTAATTTCTAAATAGAAGCACAGCCATAGTGATAAATAATTGCCAATAAGAATCACACCTTTTATTATTCGATAAAATATTATCACTAAAAAAATTATGTTAACGAAGTGCATTGTGCAATTGAAGCCACTGAGGTCTTGCGAGTAGAGATCATTTTCTTCATGAGAGGATGATTTGGAAGGTTAAAATGTAATGGAATATTATTTAAACATAAAATTAAAATTCACTGCCTTCTGTTTGTTTCATATGCATTTAATATGATTGGCAAGTTCGATTAAATCGGAAAAAAACTTACCAATTAATGACAAAGAACTGCTTCGTCGCGACGAGGGTTCCGTCGTCAGCGGCGACTACGTATTATCGACCAAACGTATCAAATGATGTGGCTGAAAAACATTTTAACGTGATATCTAGCAACAGATCGGATGAATATATCGTAGTTGTACAAATATTCAATACGTGACAAGACGAATCGCTACAATAAAATTAGAAATTAAACTATATTGATAATATATATTTTGTTCAAACATTTTATTATAACTATATTTATTAATTTTTTCTATATTATTCATTAGTTTATTAATTATAGTCTATAGTCAATATAATGTTATACATTTATAATTATAAAATACGATTTAAGTGCGTTTATTAAAATACCATATGGCTAGATTTTTCATAACATTCGAGCATACAGAAAAAATTTGTTTTACATAATCGCTACTTTATTTGGCTGACCAACGGGAGAAATGTCAACATCAGAATTTACTTCTAAAATGGTTGTTGATGTTGGATGATGTTTTCTGAAACGTCGAAATTAATCGTTAATTATTCAATATTAGTGACGCAGTCTGCATTTCTTATAATTGCTTTTGCGCCTCTCTTACTTGCATAACATGTCTAAATATTTTCGAATTTGCATCACTTGACGTTGAATATCAATCAGCATGTTAGTCATTCGTTCTTCTGATGTTGCGAAAGTCGCAGCTCGTTCTGCAATTAATTTTAAAATATTAACTATCTTTTTAATTTTTGACAGTATTTATATATGTCTTAATTTCTATATAATTTATATTTTATTTAAATGTATCCAGACTTATTAACGTTAATAATATTCTTTGGCATCAGGACATATTTTGATCAAAATTCTCGATTACTTACTGATTCGAACGTGCTCGTCAGTAATCTCCTCATCCTGATAGACAGTATCAATTTCCTTTATAGTATTGATCAGATCTTTTACGTTATTAACGTTATATAAAGCCTGCAAGATAGAGTCTGTATTGTTAAGTTTGACGTGCATAACTTTCGATTGCTCTTGGACAAGCTGTTCGATAATCGAGCTTAGTTGTTTTAAAAATTGTATCTAAAATAAACAATATGCAGTTTAAAGGTAATATCTAGTAAATCACGTATTAATCGACAAAATATAATTAATTTGTATCGTTTAAATTACGTTACAGCGTATTATCAGACCTCACGTTTATTGTTGTCCTTGTTTTCACTTATTTTTATGGCAAAATTTATGAGCTTCCCGAAGTTTTCCTCGTACGCTGCAATTAGTTCTTTTAATTGCTCCGGCATGTTTACGGGAATTGTCTCTCCTGTTTCAAATTAAAAAAAATTACGCGGTGTAATATTCTATATCGATTCAATAATAGTATATATACCAATTTGATGTATTTACTTTCTTTTCTCTAATCAGTGAATAAATTACGACAGCAGAAATTGCTCGCGTAATAATTATATATCACATACTATTGTTGTGATAGTGCACAATTGCTGATTGTGTGTGAGTATTTAATATCTATCTCTAATATGAAACATGAAACATGCAAGTCCTACCTGCGTCTTTCACGTTTGAAAGCGTGAGCGAGCGGCACTGCGCCTGAAAACGAAATTCAGAATAAAATATATATTTGATAAAATTCTAAAATATTCAATCATGTATGTAAATGGGATTTAATTTTCAGATGACAAAGAATTGGATACATACTTTCGAAAAACTTTAATCTTAGAAACTTACTCCAATCGTGAAGGCAGCAAATATAATTACGAACTTCATTTTCATTTTTCGATTATTCGCGTAACTTTCTCGCTTTGCTAAGTGAACTCTAATGAGATCGTCTAATAAACGAAACCGTTTTATAGGCACCGTGTGTGAACGAAGGAACATACATATGTGACGTTTTCCAAAACATTTAATGAAAACATCCGGCGAGGAATAAACGAACGTATCGTTGTATATCGAAAACGTGTGAAGTTACGCGAGTGCATAAATTCGCCTGATTATTCTGCACGATGAGATATACTTAATTGTATTTAATATTACCGGGAGCAACAGTATCTTTATTGTCGTTTAAATATCGATATATTACGTCTAGAATATTAATATTTTCCGAGTAGAACATAATGGATTATGAATAAGGGAATTGTCAATGACGTCTGACGCGTTGCTCCCGAATTTGCACAGAATGACAATTATTTTTCAATGGCTGTTACGTTTTCTGAATATAAAACTAAGTGTGATTTGCATTCATGGACGACTGCTGGGATTAAAGTATGTAAATCAATATGGTCTGAATTATTTGCTAATCAATATGAAAACAAATGTGGAAAATAATGACGCCTAATAATGTATTAAATTTAATATTTACAAGATGAAATGATTATTATATCGGTTGCGATTTACAAAATAAGTCAGGTAATTGAGTATTTTGTGTAAATAAGTTTATTCAGTATGAAAATATGAACATTCATACATATAATAAATGTATAAGTATAATTTATTATGTTACAAAAATCCATTCTCAATGAGCAGTGGCCATTTCTTTAAGTCCTTCATCGTCCATATCTATTGCAAAATGTTCAAAACACATTATTGTAAGTTACAGGCTAATAATTTTATTACATAATAACATAGTTAATAGTTGCAAGATTACAGAGTCATATAATTATAATTAATAATTATAATTAATATTATATCTAAGATTTTTCTTTATATTTTACGATTAAAGATTTTTTCAACGAGTTTGATCTGCTAAATCTGCTAATTAATCGTTTGTGATATTTACCCGCATCCTCCTCTGCATCCGTAACCACCGTGATGTCCGAATCCTCGGTGTCCTCCATAACCATGGTTATGACCATGATGATGGCCTCGAAAACCGCCATGTCCACCGAATCCGCCACCGTATCCGTAGCCGAAACCACCGCCATATCCACCATATCCACCATACGCGGTACGTTTAAGACGAACGGACTCCGGTTCTGTTCTGATTATCCATTGAAGATCTGAAGGAGAGCCTTTGGATTTGAATTTTAATTTAATTAATTTAGACATCACTTCTTAATAATAATTATAGCAATTTTTGTTTATGTATTTGATATATTAAATTTGAGATTGTTATTTCAATTTTAAAAGAAATTCCAGAAAAATTTTATACAACTCTCTTTCTTAACTATATACTTTTGTGATCAACAAACAGTGAGTCATATAATACGACGCAAAATAAAATTGATCAAAATATCAGCGACAACATAAAAAGTAGATAAACTGGTTTCTTATTTGTATCGATGCAGCATTAACATGACGCGCGTTGTTTATTAAAATCAACGTCTCAAATTATTATAAAATTTTAAAAATTGGATATAAAAAAATGCATATGTTTTAGAAATAAATTTCTGTCCATTTCCTAAAGCTTCCAAATTTGCAGGAGATACACAAAACATCTTTGCTTAAAGATAATAGAATTTAATTATTTTGCAATCTTGATACAAAACCGATAAAATGATAATATTTTAAAATTTGATTTTCTGCAACACTCACAAACACCATTTTTGTCTTTACCTTGAAGTTGTGGTGCTGGTAATGCTACTGCAACTGCGACAAGCAACGCAACGAATAAAAGAATCTTTGACATTCTGATACTGATCGTGCAGCCAAGGGTATTCAGTGCCAAATGACGATGAGAAAATCGGCCAGGCAGTCTTTATATACGGAACCCGTTCATGTTTCGGGATATCCCAACGACGCGCGTTTACGCAGATACGAAACAGGTAATTTGGACCGTGTCGAATCGGCCGCATATTATTAGCACGAACAGAATGAGCCTCTCTTTTGTCGTTGTGGAGCTGATGATGCGTCGCTGGCGCTGTGTCCCTGGAATGACTTCTGTCCTTCACTCAGTGGAACATCATTTCGTGACAAGTCCAGCAATCCTTGATATCGCTTGGTAGACCGTCTTAGTTTCCAAATTGCGAAATTTTAAAGAAGTGCGAAAGAATACAAGTAGATCGCTAACAAGATTTCTTTACAACAATGATTAATTTATTAATCAACATTAATTAACGATTTTTATTTAATAATTACTAACTTGTAGTAATTATTATAATTATTGTGCATCGATAACTAAATTTCTAAGTTAATTAATTAATCAAAAGTAATTAAAGTTCCTAAAGTAATAATTTTAACTAAAATAATTTAGTATCGTATAGGAATTTATTATTAAATAATAATTAACAATGTTCTGATAGTTTAGAAGATTTTTATACTTTCATACAAAGATTGTCCCACAAAATTCTTAATTTTTAATTCTTAAAATAGAATAAAGTTGAAAAGTTTTAGAACTTCTGATCAAATTAATCGTGCTAATTGGTTTTTGATAACGGAGTTATAAAAAATAATCAGTTGTGTTAAGGCTAAAGTCAGGTTGAAGAGGATGAATAGCAAATGAGAAATTATGAATACACTGAAGAGAATTCAATGATTGGTATGACGAAGATTTCTACGAAGAAAGACGTGAGTACCAATTTTACCTACGTAATTAATGTTCAATACGCTGTTCGCATTATTGTCAGACATTTTATCCTTGACAGGACAAATGTTGTTAAAATACTTTTGCCATTTTTATAAAACTGTGTGATAAAAATTCTTATAACAAAATATTCATAATACAAGGTCGCCATAATATATGATGTAAATCCTATATTTAGAAAAAACGATATTAACACGAGAAAAATCGCTATTACAAAATCCAGCATCCAGGAAATGTGAAAATAAAAGCACGTTTTTAATTATTAACCCTTTTAACCTTCAAACTTCTTACATTCCGTCGTTACATAACTAGGTATTCAAAATACCATTTTTCAAGTGTTGTCGTGCATATAATCGTTTTTAGATTCATTGTCCAACATTAATTATGCTTGGTCACCGGAATAGCCGGTTGGTTTAAAGAACCGTGAAATCTTGCTTGCCTAGGGGATACATTAACGGTCAACTAGTCTTGATCAACTGGCCTTGGTTTTTCTCGGGACTTCACAGTCTTAGGTCGATGAACGAATACACTTTGGAATTCTCATCTAACAATAAGTATTCTGTTCATCCTATTATTAACACACAACACAATTTTATGGTTAAAGATCTTCTATTCAACAAACTACGCAACTTAATCATAATTTCTCTTGATTTTTTAATATCTATGTTTTAATAAATCATTGATTGTTTTAAAATAAGATCTTGTTGATAAATTAATTAAAAATGATTCAAAATATATGCTACACACACACACACACACACACACACAATATTTACTTTAATTCTTATAAAATTATTTATAACAGATTTTATAGTAATCTATATATTTGTTTACAGTTGGTTAAGAAAGTTTCAAAAGATTTTCTCGGAATTTTTAATATGTATGTTAGTTTGAAATCTTGAAGATATTTTGTAAGTAAAGTCAGAGGCATAAATACTAGAGAATTTTACTATATAGAGCTAAAATTAGCAGGGCTAGGTATTTTTGCATTTAAAATGCCATTTAAAATGTAATTCTATTTAAAATGCTAAATATAAAATGTACGTATATTAAAATGTACGTGAAAATCATTCTGTATTTGAAAACTATTTAAAATATCTATTTACCCATTTTATATATAAAGTGGATTCGAAAAACATTTTGTGCATTTTAAATACATTTTTTTAAGTATTTTATATTTGGCATTTTAAATAATTATCCAGCTCTGAAAATTAGAAAATATTCCGATGATGTAAATTGTATATAAAATTCAAATAATTTTTCAATTAACAAACACTTCAAAAACACATTTACGAACGGAAATCCCCATTCCGTTCTAATGTAGATCGAAATTATTAGCATAGTATTCTGCATAATTGTTATGTTACATATTTACATTGTATAAGAATCACTGTAGAAGAATTTTGACCCGACGGATTTATTTAAACTGGAAAAAGCATACTCGTACAATAAATTCACACGTTCTTTGCATCGTACTCAAACAGAATTGTTTTAAAAGTTACATCACGCTTAAATTTGGGACTTCCGACGATGAGTATTGTACATGCGCAACGTTTGCGTATATTATTATTCCTTCCAAAGACAAGTGATTGCAATCTTGCATGAGAATGCAAGGTGACCATATAATTTTGCAATCACCTGTTTATCTTAATCTTAATCTTTTTGAAACATAATTTTTTCCGACAAGTGCAAACAATTAGGTATTTACAAACAGTTATGGGCGTAATAAGCGCAGATATTTTCCTGCAAAAACCAATGTCAACTTTTTAAATGTCTGTTTATTAAACCATTTAGTAAATTGATTATTTTAATTTTTTATTTTTCTAAAAGTTAGAAGCAATTTTGTCATCACACTTATCGTATAAATTTAAAACGCTACGCAAAACTATTTCAGTATAAATTTCGTTAATTGAACCACCAAAACCTCTTCAATTGTTTGTTTTTATTAATCTTAATATTTTCAGCTGAAGTACATACTATCTATGTTATTTACAACATATTACATATAAAATGTTACATATAAAAATTTCTTAATTGACTCATTTCACATTATCATATAGTAAATGTTGCAATAGAGAATGTTATTTTGTACAGTCTCGTTGATATGTTAAAATTGAAGATTTTTGGTTATACCGATTTTTTAATCAACATATATTTTTATACACATAAATTTGCAGCTTTTGGTAAAGTATGTTGAAAACGTCACTATAGTTTGACCGCATACACATACTTCGCCTATAATCTGTTTTATATGTATGACAACAAAGCAGTATATGCTTTTTTTTATTACGGATTAATTTATTATGGATGATTAATAATGTACTCTGTTTTGAATAAACTTTAAAATAGCACATGATTAATCGTGAATCGTTTTTAGAATGCGCATCATATATAATAATGAATTCTCAGCATTCGGATTATATGTTTATAATAAAGTTTGGTATTATATTGTATTCGCAAGATTTGAATTTTCTGTTGGTTTGAGTTTTATGTAAATAAAATGCGTATGTTATATAATTATCACAATATAGTATAATTATATTTAGAAATTCAGAAAGTACAAAGAAGTGTTTTATTTTAATACCTTTTTATTCTTTTATAATTTACATTTACAAAAGACTTAATAGATATAATAAAAAATAGATATAAATTGTTATGTATATAATATAAAGAATATTTATTTTTTCATTAAAAAATTTATTATAGGCACATAAATCAATTTTATTATTTGAATTTGGATTTTTCTCGAGTTAGTCGGATACTTAGATTTCAAGAATTTTAGATGACACTGTAATATGAATATTTAATAACAATTCATAATTTATAAAAATATAAACTACGATTGCAGATTATGCTAGTGTTTACTAAATCTTCTTATATTATTATAAATTATAATTGCATATTCCATAAAGAAGGATATTTAATTTTTTAACTGTAGTTTGATATATTAATGAATGTAAATGTAATTGAAACAAATCATCTAAGATTGAAAGTCTGAAAGTTCACTATAAAATGGTACAGCAATAATTTAAAGCTCGATGTAATCTAAATACTAAAAGATTGCAAGTTTTTGTGTTAATGTCTACTTAACAATGTATCTTTACATAATAAATTGCACATTCTTAAAAATAAGTTTAATATTACTCTTAATTAGTTTTGCTTTTTTGTCGAAAATTCTTTTGTGTATAATTTGATATTTTTTTTATCTGAGATTTAATAAATATTTAATAAAACATGTAAAAAGACTTGGCAATTACATGGATAATATGCGAGTTATTCACAAGAGATTGTCTTAAAAACTTCTTATTCAATTCGTTGATAATATCGACTCTAACAATAAAATCACTTTAACAATTATTCCTTATATGGCTGCGGGCGTTGTTTCTTTCTAACAAAAATACAAATAAAAAATGTATTAATTAGCAGCCTGATACTAAGTATCAGGCTGCTCCTCGCCCTGATGAAGTGAACTGCAAGGTTCACGAAACGTTGGCATTCCAAGAATGGATCTGAACACGGAGAAAACCCGCGAAACGCAAGATTGTCACAATGTATTAATTTGTATACATTTACTTATATATTTGTTCTTATTTCTTGTAGCTATTTGTTTAAATAAAGGTAGTTTTTCTTTATAAATACTTGAATTAATTCAATGTATTTAAAAGAGAACCTTTTTTTCCAATGCGATTAACTAACCATAATAATTCGTTTTTCAGCGCAATGTTTCTTCATGAAAGTAATCAATGGAAGGAAAATATAACTTACCCAGTTGGAGATCCGCCATAGGCAGTGGCTACTGAACTAGCAACTCCGCCTTTTCCTGTAGAGTAACTATTTGCGATAGCAGTGATGGCACCAGGAACAGACCCGGAGGCTCCAGCGCGAGTGGCTAGTCTTGGGAAGCTGAAGACCATAGGAAAGAAGTTGTTCAAATGGGGATATTTCTGACGGCGTCTGTTGCCTTTAAATGGTACGAACGGCACAACCGGTTCATCGTCTTCCTCATCCACTTCATCTTCATCGTCATCGTCATCGTCGTCAGCGTTGGCAGTCACGGGTGTCTTATGCGTTTTCTTAGTATGATGTATTTTTGGTCGGGACGCCTCCGTGGCAGTAAACGGCTTTTCCGTCGGTTGCGCAATCTCTGTAGTTAACGGAATCTGCTCCAATTCGTGATGTCCCTGTAGGAATAATATAGATCTCCATGTCATATTTCATAGAGAACCATTTAGATTGATATTTATAATCTTACAAAAATTCTATTTCGTAAATGTATAAACGTAAACTGATTTCATAATTTTAAACGTAAAATATCTAAAATTGATCTTGCTATAAATTATGAACTTTCTTATTTTATTTATTTTAAGTTTTATTTAAGAATTATTTTCACACTTATATTAAATATAAATCTCACCAAATCATCGTACCTGAGGGGTCAAAGAATCCTGATGATGGTAATGATAATGCGGATCGTCGGGATGAAACTGTTCCTCCTCATCGTGACGATGCTCATGATGCTGCTCCTCCTCATGACGATGCACCTCGTTTCGATGGTGATGATATTCGCGTTCCTGCTCTTCAGGCGCCGGCGCCGCCTGTGCCTCGGCGCTGGACACTTCCGATTCCTCGGTTGGTTCCGGGCCACCCTTAAGATGCGGCGTGTGCATACCTCTGAAGAAAGCTTCGCCACTCACAGCATTTCCTTGCGCGAAGACGCCTGTTGCCTGGCCACCGTTATTCGTGCGACGTATCGGTCTGTAGTAACCGGTGAACATCATCGTCCTGTGTGGATAAGGACGCACGGCTGTCCTCTTTTCTCTCAGGAACATTATAGGATTGCCGTAAGTATCCAGCGTCACAGAAACTATAAATAATACAAATTTTTAATTTAATAATAATAAATAGATATATTATATTATTTTTCATAAATCTTTAGCTTCGTTTTTGAGAAATAGATCTTATACCTTTATATAAGAATTATAGAACAATAACAGAATTTACAGAATAATTATTGTTACTTGCATTTGAAATTATCGGGATATTTTACTTATTATACATAATTTTATTGTATTGTTAATTTCTCTATTAATTACATAACATCTAAAAAAGTTGGAAATCTTTTTATAAGATAGTTTCCCCCATACAAAAAATGTGATTTTTAAAATCTTTAAGAAATGTTTCAAATTAGAAGTATATTAACTCCAGTGCTTACTAGGCTCAGTCGGAATCACCTTCAACTCTGCTATCGCGACCGACGCCATCGCAATTAGAACAAAACTAATGTAGTTGACCATTGTCGCTCTGATCTTAATCCGAGTTTTTTCGTGACGATCCTTTTTCGATTCTGATCATTCGTCTCTTTAGAAATCCTCCAGGAAATACGACTTTTTAGTGCTTTAGCGATCTTCGACGGAAAATCTAGATAATTAAGCGGTTCACTTCCACCGATCTTGCCGATCTTGATGCACCAACTTTTTGCACGATGCTGGTAGTCCTTACCATCGCAATAGCTTTTATACCACGAAGTACACGGACATGCAGGACAATGGGATGGGTAGGTACCTTGATATGGGGGTATGGGATGGGTCAGACCTATTGGTGGATACACAGGGGATACGGGATGCCCCACCAGCTTTCGTCAAGTGGTCTCTTATACGGTCAGGATCGCGGTAAAGTAAGCGCACGCACCGTCAAGTTCTACGTGATCGTCATGACCGATGCGAAACATGAATTAATTGTGATCCGCGCCGATGACAATCTGGATTCGCGGGATCGGACCGATATGGGAAATCACGCGATGATCTGTCGATCAGGCTCTTCTATGCATATAAATGACATGGAATTATTGATGGATATACACACGTGTATCTAAAAGGAAAGTTCTAGGTAATCATTATATCCGAAAAGAGACAATCTTATAACACCACATAAATATCTAATTGTATATGAAATGTCTATTGTCTTATTACTTAACACATGTCTACGAACTCATTAATGTTTATAGCAATTTAAGGTTCACTAAATTAGGGGAGAAAGGATTGTGAATTTAGATTTGGCTTCATACTGATTTATAGCATATCTTTCATCAGTTATTTTTTCTTATCTATTCAATTCGTTCATCCTATCTTTTTTGAATGACTATGATTAATCAAAGAAAGGACATTGAACGGCTGATAAATCTTGAATCAGAAAGAATCAGGTTGGTTCGAGGCATTTGGCTCATGACTGAAACAAAGTGTTTGTAATGAATTCGCTTGGGAAACGGCGAGAATGTGAATGGGTGATGGTTGACGAATGTCGCGGAGGGCCGATGGCCCCACACTTTCCCTCTTTTGCGACGTGAGTTACTGAGTCACCCCGATCAAGACGCGATAGAGGAATCTAACGTGCCAGACAAACAGACTCGTGGGCAGCTTCATGCATTTTCAATTGATCTAAAAATATACACCATCTGAGAATCGAAGGATTTTGTTTGCTTGCCGTTTTCCTCTTTACGGATAATGCCCGTCCTGAGAAAGTAAAGTAGTAATAAAATTAAAAGGTTGATAAATGTGATTATATAAATTATCATTAGTAAAAGGTTAAACTTTGTATAACATAAAATATAGAATCAAAATCCAAATTTAAGCCAAAAATAACCGCGTTAGTAAAAACTTGTGTATGATCAAACGCAATCGTAAGAAAGTCGAGTTAGTACTTCAGAAAGTTATGAGGGATGCCGTTGCATTCGTCACAAACATAAAATGTGAATAGCAGCAGGGACACGCAATGAGAGCATGACGTCTGTGTAGGGATCAGATAATACTGCTTTTGCAGCTGAAGATGAAGCGTAGTTGAAGGGAGACTGACATCAAGACGGATCTGACTATGAGCGCGTTTTACTATTCCAGACACGACAGCCACGGCCACCACTATTGGACTCTTACAGACTTCTGATCATCCCCGAAGAATTATCGTCACCTCTGACCAGACGTACCCGTTTGGACGAGTATGACTGACATAATATTAATTCTAAGAAGTTACACGTGCGGTCGTAGGCAGTGACGTCAAACTAGCGTCATTATTGGTGGATGGATCCGGTACCTTTGTATAATTGTTTAAAACTGTTTGTTCAGCTGTTGTAAAAAGAGATCTGATATTTTACAATGGAAACTTTTTTTATAATACGCATTTGTGAAATATTTTTAAATATTAATGTATTAATTAGAACCTTTAAGGATTTTTATTACATCTATAAAACTTTATCTCCTTATTATATTATTATTTTACTTTTTATTACATTATTATTATGTTAATAATACTATTTACAAAAAATACACAAGAGAGCAAAAGTAATTATCTTCTAATTTTAAGTGGAAATTAGATCGATAAAAATAGATCAAATAAGAGAAATAATTTTATATTTTTCGGTTGAAGTGGATTTTGGAACTTAATAATAGACTTAATACATTTTTTAGTTCTATAAATTGTTCATAGTTACATATGTGAATGGTATTAAGCACTAAGACCTATTTCAATCAAAAGATAGATTCCTTCTCTTATGTGAGAGAAAAAAATGTTTCCCGATAGATTTTTGAATATTAAGTTTGACTCCATATATCAAATTATAACAACAATTAATAAATGAGATCATATTTAGCGTTTAAAGGTTACATCAATAATTACCTTCGTTTTTGAGTTCTTCATTCTTGAAAAAGTTATTTTTATTGAACAGTAAATAAATCAAAATTATGTATTTATTTATTATTGTATCTATTCTAATTACAAGTTGAAGTTATTATATAACATGTGATTCAGCGAGTATCAAGAATCGAAGAATTGCTTGTAAAATTCGTATTTGCATTTAGGAATTAATTCGGCAATTGCGATTCCACAGTTCGCAATAGGAACGTTTCCAAGTATGAGTCTGGATAATAGTACGACGCGGATGTGCTGCGGAGATTGATTTCTATGCTGTCGGAGAAGGAAGAGACAGCGATGTATAAAAATATTCCAGGGGGAATGATGTATGAATTTTGCGATACCAACTGCGATACGTCTACCTTCTGTCAGACACGCTACTTTTTGATCCGTCTGGTCACGCTCAGAAATACGATATGCGTGACTTGGAAAGCGGTGCGATTCGGGACTGATTCATGAAATAACGCGAACTCACGATATAATGTCTGCGATATCGGAGTACGAGCACGACAATCGAGCCGCTTAACTGACGAATGTGAGTTAGAATAAATATTATTCTAATCTTTTGTGTGAGAATCCATAATTCCATTAAACTCTTTCAGCTTTCAACGCGTCGACTGAGCTCTCTCTCTCTCTCTCTCTCTCTATTGTTTATAAACTTGATAAATCGTACTATATAAAAATTTATTCATGATTCTTGCTAATAAATTTTTAACAAATTAATATTTTTGTCCCCAATCAACAGACAATGTTTTTAAAATGTTTTTTAACTATTTATTTAACGTAAAAATATTTAATAAATATTTAAAAAATATTTTTTAAATATATTGTGTGCTGATTGGGTCATGATATCTGACAACTGAAACAGTATGTTATAAATAAACCGTATAATACAAAGTTTTTTTGTCCGCTTGTGAATAAAATTTATACTTTAAGGAATTTAAAGGTAAATAAGAGAAATGCTTTCTTCTCTCTTTCTTTTTAATATATGTATTAAGTTACAATGTATACTGTTTAAATAATCAATAGTCCGGGTTTAAAGTGGCACGCGGTTGGTTTGAGAACAATGCGATACGAGTTCAATGACTGTATACGTCTGAAACCGATTTGAGAATAAGGCATTTTTATAGGCAAGAAAACAGGTGCGTCTAGTACCGTTGAATCACAATTATTCTGAGTCTTCTTTAAAACGATGCATATCAGATGTGTATTACATGTAGAATAAAAGATACAGATTTAGATACGAAATGCTTTCATTTATTAATCACGCATCTAAGGTCATTATGGCATTATTTTTTACTGTAAATAATTTTTTTCATTGACACAAAACGAGAGATGCGCATGTTATTTTTACAAATAATTCAATTATTTATGCAATAATTATTTATAAAGATTTACCAAAATAATTTTAAGCACGAAATAGTTACAAGAATGAAATGGTTTAAATAATGTATGTAGTTTAAACGATTCGAATTCCTAATTATTTCACTGTGCTTATAATGGATCATAGTACTTTTTTCGCTGAGTACTATAAAATATAAATTATCTCTTAAAATTGTTTGCTTACTTGTTGAAATAAATTCAATAATGAATTCATATCTCGTGTACGAAGTCAACCCTTCTCGTTGCGGAATTAAAATCAGAAATCCCAGAATTCCCAGGATTTCAGCGGTACACTTGACTCCCGCTTTCGCAAATGTTTGCGCAGTTTTGCCGACGGAATCTCATTTAGTGCCATCGCGCAGACTGAATTAAGATTAGGCGATGTCGAATTACACGTGCTATTCAACGGCATACGTTGATCGGCTCACGTGCGACAAGCCGTCGAAGACGTGTGACATACAGATCGTACTACTTTGGTAGCCTCGCCTAACTCGAAATCTTGTCGAACGATCGACTGGCAAGTGATGCTGATGAGATGATTAATTCGTGACGCATATTAAATCGAGGAGCGATGCGAATTTCTCGCCTGTCGTTCGCGTATCGATTTCAAAGGGATTTGAAGGGATTAAGCCAAATGCAATTATTATTAATAAGAAAATCTCTCGAATTAATATCTTTAATTTGGCGCAATGCATTTATTTTTTTTTATTTACAAATACATATATTTATTCGTTTTATATAGAGATATTAAAACGTTTAAATCTTTTTTAAAGAACATCTTTAAAGGTATTTGATTGAAATTAAAAGCTTTGAAAACTTGCACCTCAGCTTCCGCAAAACAGCATTTCAAGACACATCATCTCGATGTACGTGTAGATATTTACAATCTTATTTGGAAACCAATCACGAAGAGTCCGGTAAGTCCGGTAAATCCGGTAAGCACAGCGAGTTGAAAGACCGCGTAACATCTCGCCTATGGATTGCGTTCATTTTGCAAATTTTCCAAATAAAACGGATGAAAGTTTCGTTTTATATCGAATCATAGTACGGGTTGACTTAAACGTGTACCCTGTTCAGTGGCGTAGGCAGGACGAAAAGATTGGATCGTGAGAATTAAAATTTGAAAAATATAAAATGAATATATATAATTAATAAAGTTAGAAAGAGTATTTTCTTTAAAATAAAAAATCAAGAAAGAACAATATTTTACATATAGATAGTTATATGTAATTGTTTAAATTTAAAAAATCTAATATTATGCATGTCTTAAAAAATTTGTTTCCTAAATTGATTAAATAATCGTTATTAAAATGAAAATTATGACATTCTCTAAAGAATATGGAAAAATAATTTTTGAAACTTTTATAAATCTTTAAACTTGGTAAAACGAAATAAAACGTCGTTCGTCTTCATAGTCAACCTAGTCTTCTAGCTGCGCCACTGACGTCAGTGATCAGCAGTCAGCGGATTGACGATA